AATTTGAAGGCCTTTTTGTCTTTTTCAAATTGTTTCCTTGCTTCCTGTGTAACTTGCTGTGCTGCAACTTGCTTTGCGTGCCGGCGAGTTTCGATGTAAACTGAAAAATGACAGAAAATAATTACAGCAAAGGATAGTCCGATAACTATATTGTTAATTCTATAAAACAGAAACGTGTCAACAGCAAGTGCAACGTGCACCATCACAGCCAGGAGCCAAGTTGGTAGAGAAGCAACCAGTAAACGAGACTCTGTGACGATGGTAATGTGCTGGTATGGGTATTTAATGGCTACATAGCGCTCCCCGCTTGCTAAGGCCAGGTGAAGTAGCGAGCTAGTGAACAAGCAGTTTGAAATAGCAAAAGACAAAATTTCCGTTAGGCACGACTGGCCATTGCTTTCCTGAAGCAAGATAGATATCATTCTATCGATGAAGATGGGCTGAGCAAGAATTCCCACCAAAAGATCGGTCAAAGCAAGCATGGCAAATACAATGTTCGACTTTTGCGCCCTTAATCGGGATTTCGTCTTCACGGCGATCATCACCAGTGCGTTCAAGACGGCAATAACGGGAACAGTGATGATGTTGATGATTATGTACAAGATAAGAAAACCTTGAAAGAAAAAGGAAGGCGGCTGAAGATCTCCGAATAAACTTTCTGCGGCCGTGCATGGAGGAGGGACGGACTCGTTTGTTGCTTGACTTGAGTTCATCACTTCTTCAAATTTTTCTTTGCCACGGAATTTGAAAAACGAAGGAGCGAATCCTTTTTGCACCTTTTAAGACTGAAACTCTCTTCTTTTTGTTATGAGCGAATTTACCACTTGCTATATATAACATCACAAACCAAATGCGTTCTTATTGGTCAAAACCTTGTCTTTGTTTAGTAAGCCCGGGGCCGACTTGGATTTTCGTTTTGGCTTTATGCCATTTTTATTGTCGGTTTTCTTTCTGTTTGCTCTGCCGATTTTTAGCTTAGTGTTCTTAGTGGATCGGTCTTTCGTTCTCAAAAAGTTTGGTTTTTGGATTTTGTAGAAAAGAAAAGGCATAATCCTTGCGCAGTTCCTCTTAAATAAACTCTATTTAAAGTACATCTGTGATCGGACTTGTTTAAATTGCTTTAATTCTTAATTTCAGTTACTTCACTCGCAAAAACAAAACTGAATGATCCAGTTTCAGGAGATAACTTGGTTTCTAAACCAACGAGAAAATAAAGTTGACTTCATAAACCAGTGAAATCTCAACGCAGGAAACAGAAAAAAGATTGTGTAGTTTAAAAGGCAAAACGGAAATCCAAATATATTTAAAACGACCACAAACTCAGAGGTTTAATACAGTTAATTCCTCGTGAAAGTTTGGTTTTTGGCTTTTGTAAAAAAGAAAAGCCATAATCCTTGCATAGTTCTTCGTAAAAAGCTTTAATATTTAAATTACACGTGCGACTTGTTTCAATTGCTTTCTCAATTTTAGTTGCTTCACTCCAGAAACGAAAACGATTTAGTTTCAGGGGATAATTTTCAAAACCAATTTCAATGCAAGAAACAGAAAAACATTGCTTTGTTTAAAAGGCAAAACGGAAGTCCAAATATCTAGAAAACAACAACGAACGCAGAGTTTTAAAACTTAATACTTGCTTTTTAATACGCGTGTACAATTACAAGAAAGTCAACGATTCGGCAGACGGTTTAGGGTAGAAAACTGTGTATAGCTCTAGACAGAAAAACAATCAAGACATCCCTAATATTTCAAAGCACGTTGTTTTTAGTCGAAACTAGGTTTGCACAAATAGTGTAAATAAAACGAAAACAGAAAATTAATTTTTGATACTAAAATACTGCCTATAAAAAGTTTAGCCTTGATGTACCACTTAAGATATTCAATAAATTTTATTTTCAATTTAATAAATTTAATAAATTTTTTCTCATTTAGCTGTTAAAAACAAACATAATCCACAGTAGGAATAATAATAATTATAGTGATTTCATCGTAAAAAGCCGCTCTATTTTTCATATGGCATCCGTGAGTTGTTCAAACCATACCCACTTTCGGTTAGTTCAGTTGAAGTAACGAACATATACCTGGTCCGGTTTTGTAATGCTCTCTGTAATGTTATGCTCTTGAATTAAAAGAAAGGAATTTTAACGTTTCTTTCCTTGTTACAAAATATAATTAAGAATACTGTACATTTTCTACATCGTTAAACTAACTGCCAAAAGCAAAAACAAAGTTGAGCTTTAAACTAAGCGAAATCTCAAAAACTTCAGCTTTCAACCTGTAATTCACAAAAATGTCCCTATCATAATGAGCTCGCTAGTGGAAATGTTCATTTCCAGGTCTCAAAAATCATTTCGTTGCCAGTAGAAAACCTTTGTCGCCAGCGTTAAAAAAGCGCTCGGATTTTGCATGTAAAAAACTGCTGTTATTTAAAACTAGAGAGAGCCGACAAAAAATTAATCTTTTAATAATTTGACCGGCTTTTTAAGAAACTTTTTTTTATAATCCTTCTGGATTAGGAAGTGAAAATTAACCGTTGATATTAAACTAAATTCTAAATCTTCAAATAACAATTTCGGAACTCTCACAGCAAATCGGCCGGAATGAAGCAAACCTCTCTCCCCGAAGGTCATTAGCAGGGCTTCTAGTTCAAAAATTTAAAACTTTTGGTTAAAAGAAAATTAACTGTTTCTTTTTCCCTAAAAAACTGAAGCGTGGGAGTACCATATGCAGGTGAAAATAGAGAGACATTCGCCATGTCGTAGTCATTAAGTTCAGTTCATGGCTTTGTTGTTTTCATCTAGCTATAGGTCAAGCAAGATGCTATCACACATTTCTTTTGGGACTGCCCTTATTCGAATTCATTCTGGAAATGTGTTGAATCATATTATTTTGGGTTGCGAAAACAACTAGTTCATCTAACATTAAAGGAAATTTGGATCGGCTTTTTAACTTCCGAATGCCCCTTGCTTAATTATCTTATACTTATAGGAAAGATACATTCATGGAGTTGCAGAGGGAATGAAGTACTCTCAACCACAAACAGTTTTATAGTTAGAGTAAACGGTAAATATGAAACAGAAAAATATATTTGCACTAAGAATAAGAGGTTGCAAAAATTAATGGACAAATGGACTTTGTAGACTAGTTAACTTTCTTCTTTTGGTAAAATGATTAGTTTCTTCTTTTTTGAATAGCACTTGTAACATAGCAGTAGGCATACCTTGTGTGGTGATTGTGGAATTGCATGTGTACTTTATAGGTTTGTACTCCGTTTGTGCATGTATGCTTTGTGATAATAATTGCAATTGTTGTACTTTGGAATAACAAATGAAATTAAAAAAAACCTTCTCTTTTCCAATTCGCAGATTCACAGTAAAATTTAACTTTTCTTTCCGACCTTCGTCAGTTACGCTTGCCCTTTCTTGCTGTCTAAGTGTACTCCGTTTTGTGTTAGGGAAGGCGATTGCCTCTAAGCTTGACTTCTAGTTGGTCGCTTTGGCCACACGAGGTACAGTACGACGGAGCGAAAAGAAAAAAAAAACACTACTGCAACACACTCCACACTAAGGCCTTGGCCCGCCAGAATAGCTAGCAACGAAAGGAAAAAAAACTATTTAAAATCTTTTAATGTTTTGGTAAATTTATCAGGAATAGGGAATAATTTTAATCGGTAGTAACTGTTTCAGCGTACAAAAACTGAAAGATACGGAAGATTGAATCTACAGGACCTCTGTCGTAATTTTATTGCAACTGTCGAAACGGAATTTCAAATTGATTATTGGGTAACTTGATTTAAGATCTACAACACTTTGATAATGTTATGACGTCATTTTATAACACCAATAAGTCAAACTCGTACCCAGTCGCTATTTATGTGTTTTTGGGATGAGAGAAGATTGGGGGTTAGGTTGAGGCGCGCGGGGTCTCATGGGAAGGTACGAAGGAAAAAAAGCGACAAGTCTGTCAATGAGTGGACAGACGATAAAAAACTGGCGTCAATTTGTTAAAACAAGTCTAAAGATCTATTCGCAGATTTTATTACTAGCCCTAAAAGAGAAAGTGAACTACAAGAGTCTCCATACAAAAATTACATCCAATCTGGCTATTTTACCGCTAACAGTCTGGAAATTTCTTTCATTAAGTGAAAAAACAAAATGAATTTTCTTTCATGCATTTCAATATGCGTAGTCTACGTAGAAATCTAACATCGTTGGAAGAAATTATTTGGACTATAAAAGGGAGTCTGGAAATTATAGCCATATCCGAAACAAAACTACAAAGAAAAAAACGTTAATAATATTAGCATGGCCGGTTACGTTTTCCTGAAGAATAATTCACCAACAAATGCACTGGAGGCATAAAGGCTGTCTGCCTGAGTTATTCGACAACATGTTTCAATATGCTAGTAATATCCATTGCAACAACACGGGATAAAGAGCTGAGGAAAATCTTTATAAGCCGAGCGTACGAACAAACGTAGGCAAGCAATCAATCTCTTTTATGGCTACGGACATTTGGAATGATCTTCCAACTCATTTACAAAACTCAAGTGTGTCTGCGTGTCCGAAGAAAATTATACGCTATCTACTGCCAGAACAACAAATGAAATGAATTTTCGTCTTGCTAATGAAGCAACATACTTCATGTAAATAAGTTCTTTCTTCTTTGTTTTTGTTTTTTGTTTTATTTCTTTTGATTTTACCTGCTACCTAGAATAAATTGTTCAGGGAGCTAACAAGAAAACCAGCTGGTTCATTTAGCTTCCTAGCTGGCCCATTATTCTCATTACATTTAATAACTTATCTTCTCTTGTAAGTAAATTTACTTGATTGAAATATCAACCATGTACACCTGCAAAAGCATACTAAAGATTCTCCTTATAATTATAATTATTATTATTATTATTATTATTATGATGATGATGATGATGATGATGATGATGATGATGATGATTGTAGTCTGATGCATCCCGGTGAAGATTGCCTACAGATAAAATATTGATTTTAGCTGGCATTTAATCTTTCCGTATTTTGTTGTTCTGGCCTTCCTTGATCTTGCCCAGTCTCGCGTCCAACCACAACATTTTTTGCTCCAAACCCCTGCATCTCCATTTCTTCAGCCTTTGCTGACGTTACATTTCTAAATGTTAACTCAATCATTGCGACACGAAATTGCCTGATTCTGATACAGTAAATCACAGGATTTAGTAACGAGTTCAAAAACACTGCCGTGAGAGCGAAAAAGTCAATTATATAAAAGGTATTTAAGGAGGGCTCTAAAAAGTTTAAAAGGACAGTTCTACTAAACATCAACGGAGAATAACAAAGTAAAAGAACCCCAACTATAGTAGATGTTAGTTTGAAGGCCTTTTTATCTTTTTCAAATTGTTTTCTGGCTTCCCCTGTAATTTGCTGCGCTGCAACTTGCTGTTCGTGTCGGCGAGTTTCGAGGAACACTGACAAATGACAGAACACAATTACAGCAACAGACAGACCGATAACTGTATTGTTAATGCTAAAAAATACATCCGTGTTAATGGCAAGTGCAAAGTGCACCGTCACAGCCAGAAGCCACGTTAGAAGAGACGCAACCAGCAAACGAGACTCGGTGACGATGGTAATGTGTTGGTATGGGTATTTAATGGCTAAATAGCGCTCGCCACTCGCTAACGCCAGGTGAAGTACTGAGCTAGTGAACAAGCAGTTTGCGAGAACTATGAAACCAATTTGAATGACACCTGACTGGCAATCGCTTTCCTGAAGCAAGATAGAAATCGTCCCTGAAGTGAAGATGGGCTGAGCAAGTATTCCAACAAAAAAGTCAGTCAATGCAAGCAAAGCTAATACAATGTTCGATTTTTGCGCCCTTAATCGGGATTTCGTTTTCACGGCGATCATCACCAGCGCGTTCAAGACGGCCGTGAAAGGAGAAAAAAGGATGTTGATGATTGTGTACAAGATAAGGACACCTTGAAAGAAAAAGGAAGGCTGCTGAAGATTTCCGAACATCCTTTCAGCGGCCAGGCAAGAAGAGGGGACGGACTCGTTTGTTGCTTGACTTGAATTCATCACTTCTTTCAAGTTTTCTTTGCCACGGAATTTGAAGAACGAAGAGACGAATCGTTTTAGCACCCTTTAAGGCTGAAACCGTCTTTCCTATTTCTGTTACGAGCGAATTTACCACTCGCTGTATATAACATTACAAACCACGTGAGTTGTTATTGGTCAAAACCTATTCTTTGTTTAGCGGGGCCGACTTGGATTTTCGTTTTGACTTTAAGCCATTTTTAATATTGGTTTTCTTTCTTTTTGCACTGCAGATTTTGGTTTAGTGTTCTTAGTGAATTGGTCTTTCGTTTGGTCTTTGTAAAAAAGAAAACGCATAATCCTTGTATGGTTTCTCTTAAATAAACTTTATTTTAATAACACATACACACACGCAGAAACGAATTTTAATACTCAATTAATTCTTCATAAACACTGGTGTAGTTCCTTGTAAAAAAATCTTCATTTTAGTTATATCGGTGACTTATTTAAAATGCTTTTCAATTTCAGTTACTTCACACGCAGAAACGAAACTGATCTAGTTTCAGGAAGATAACTATAGCAGGCTAGACCAACGACAAAATAAGATTGACGTGATAAACAAGTAAAATCTCAATGAAAGAAACACGAAAACATTGCTTCGTTTGTTTAAAAAGCAAAAGGAAGTCCAAAGATATGACAAACAACAAAACAAACTCAGAGGTTTAATACAGCTAATTCCTCGGGTTTAAATATATACTCAAATTGTGGTTTGCGTTGCAGTCGAAACAGCGCATTTCGCATGTAAAAAAACGATACGGAAAGTAACGCAGCTTGTTATGATGAAATCACTATAAAGGACTATTAAGCGTTGTGTCTTTGTGGATCACATTTGTTATCAAAAGCTAGAAACGAAATCCTTTACATGGAAACAAAATTTATTGTTTTTGTACTGTAATATACATCCATCAAAAATTAATTTTCCGTTGCTTTCTTTTTATTTGAAGTATTTGTGCTAAACGGTTATAGCGACTAGAAAGGACGTGATTTGGAAAATGACTGATGACGACTTCTGTTTTAATAGCTGTCTGGAGGAGAATCACGATAAATCTTGAAGTTTGTCGTAAGGGTGACCACACAGTGCATATCAAGAAAGCTTTGGGCAAATAAGTATTATATCGAACTTTATACGGGTTTTATCAGCGTAATAAATTCATAAGGGAAGTAGGAGAACATACTTAAATAAGATTCTTATAAAGAAGGAGTCGAAGGCGAGTGATTTTCAAACTAGTTCACTCAACATCAAAAGTGCGGTTTAAATATTCTGCCGGTTAAAACAACCGATCTGTTTCTTTTATAAAATACACAAAAATACGAAAGTTTTTCATGTCTTTTTTTTTTAAACAGAAATAGCAAAGAACGGGACATAGGGGACTGTTTGTTAACGCAAAGTATCGGAAAGAAATATCGAAGAAAACGGCAAGAAACAGCCATAACAAAATCCATAACAACGAAATGGCCAAACGCAGGCGTGAAATTTCAAGAATTCCAGCTTTATTCACTCTTTTTTTATTCGTACCATTTTCCCCAAATTAAAATAATAAGCTCATCAGTTGACATGTACTTTTCGAGATCTCACAAATTATGGATCTTTTTCACATGACGTCACGGTGGCCATATTGGTGTTCCAAAACAATGAAACGGCGGCCATGTTAGTGTTCCAAACAATTCCTCTCGGAGTTGAACTCTTTTCTCATGTAAACGTTTTCTTTGTTGCAATAAATTTGCAAAGATGCTGTCCACTTGAGTGGAAACGCTCCATGGCGTTGTAAAAAACCAAAATGGAAGTTGAAATATACGCAAAATAAAAAAAGTATATATCATATGTTTTATTTCTCGATTTAAACTATGTTTGATAAAATTTACATAACACCAGTTTAATTGGCCATTTGTAAGCCTATCTGCTAGCGTTGAAACAGCGCTCGGATTTTAGCATTCAAAAACCGACTTAAAACTACTTTTTTTAAAACGAGAAAGAGCCGACAGATGCTGCTTGTTTTTGTTCTTAAAATGAACCGTGTTAAAAAGCTCGACAGGTTCGTTTGAAAAAAATGTTAGTATAATTGTTATAATGAAATATCGATTCTAGTTGACACTAGATCCTTCCATGTTGAGTTGTCCTGGACTTCATTGATCTTGCCCAGCTTCGCGTCCAATTACAGCGTTTTGTGCGCCAAACCACCGCCTTCCAATTTCTTCAGCCCTCGCTAAGTTCACATTTCTAAATGTTAACTCAATTATTGCTACTCGAAACTGCCTGATTCTGATACAGTAAATTACAGGATTTAGTAACGAGTTCAAAAACACTACTGTGAGAGCGAAAAAGACAATTGTATAAAAGGTATTTAAGGAGGGCGTATAAAAATTGAAAAGGACAGTTCCACAAAACATGAACGGAGAATAACAAAGTAAAAGAACCCCAATTATGGTAGATGTTAGTTTCAAGGCCTTTTTATCTTTTTCAAATTGTTTTCTGGCTTCCTCTCTAATTTGCTGCGCTGCGACTTGCTGTTCGTGTCGGCGAGTTTCGAGGAACACTGACAAATGACAGAACACAATTACAGCAACAGACAGACCGATAACTGTATTGTTGATGCTAAAAAATACACCAGTGTTAATAGCAAGTGCAATGTGCACCGTCACAGCCAGAAGCCACGTTAGTAGAGAAGCAACCAGTAAACGAGACTCGGTGACGATGGTGATGTATTGGTATGGGTATTTAATGGCTACATAGCGCTCGCCGCTCGCTAAAGCCAGGTGAAGTACTGAGCTAGTAAACAAGCAGTTTGCGAGAACTATAAAACCAATTTGAATAACGCCTGACTGGCAAACGCTCTCCTGAAGTAGGACAGATATCATCCCTGCAGTGAAGATGGGCTGAGCAAGTATTCCAACAAAAAAATCAGTCAATGCAAGCATAGCTAATACGATGTTCGATTTTTGCGCCCTTAATCGGGATTTCGTTTTCACGGCGATCATCACCAGCGCGTTCAAGACGGCAGTGAAAGGAACAAAAATGATGTTGATGATTATGTACAAGATAAGGACACCTTGAAAGAAAAAGGAAGGCTGCTGGAGATTTCCGAACATCCTTTCAGCGGCCAGGCAAGAAGAGGGGACGGACTCGTTTGTTGCTTGACTTGAATTCATCACTTCTTTCAAGTTTTCTTTGCCACGGAATTTGAAAAGCGAAGAGGCGATTTTAAGGCTGATTAACTCTCTTCTTTTTGTTACGAGAGAATTTACCACTCGCTATATATAACATTACAAACCACATGAGTTCTTATTGGTCAAAACCTATTCTTTGTTTAGTGGGGCCGACTTGGATTTTCGTTTTGCCTTTAAGCCATTTTTAATATCGGTTTTCTTTCTTTTAGTTTGCACTGCAGATTTTGGCTTAGTGTTCTTAGTGGATTTTTTAACCTTTGTAAAAAAGAAAACGCATAATCCCTGTATAGTTCATCTTAACTAAACTTTATTTTAATAACACACGACTTGTTTCAATTGTTTTCGCATTTTCAGTTACGTCACACGCAGAACCGAAAATGATCTTCAGTTTTAGGAAATACTAGACTTGCTATCTAGACCAACGAGAAAATAAAGTTGACCTGATAAACGAATGAAATCTCGACGAAATAAACAAAAAAACATTGCTTTTTTTAAAAGACGAAACAGTGGTCCAAATACATGTAAAACAATTAAAAAAAAACAAACTCAATTAATTCCACGTGAAATTTTGGTTTTTAGTTTTTGTCAAAAAAAAGGCAATAATCCTTGTGTAGTTCCTCGTGAAGAAACTTCATTGAAATTACATCTGTGACTTGTTGAAACTGTTTTCTCAATTTCAGCTACTTTACTGGCGCAGAAACGAAGATGATCTATAGTTGTAGGAGATAACAGCTTTCTATAGACCAAGGAGAAAACAAAATTGACCTGATAAACAAGAAAAATCTCAACGCAAGACACCAGAAAAATATTGCGTTCTTTAAAAGACAAAACGGAAGTTTAAATCTATGTTAAACAACAACAACAAAAAAGTCACAGGTTTAATGCAGTTAATTCCTTAGGTCTAAATACCCACATTGTCGTTTGCGTTACAGATGAAACAGCGCATTTAGCATGTAAAAAAATTACTATTTAAATTCCCATTTATGTATTTATTTATTTATTTTTATGTATATACGTATATGTAATTATTAATTTATGTTTTAGAAACCATATGGAAAGTAAAGCGGCTTTTAACGATGAAATCACTGTGAAAGACTATTACGTATTATACCTTTGGGGATTATATTTGTTATTAAGAGCAAATGTCTGTAAAAATCGAGCAAAATCGAAATTTCGCGGCCACAGTCAAAAAATCACTTTCGCTCATATCTTGTCCATAGATAGGCATAAGTAAGTAACTAAACGAGGTGTAGTTTGTTTTTCAAAAGACCGCTTGGATTTGGAAAAAATCGACAAAATCAATTTTCGTGGTCAGCGACTTGAAAACAACCAAAATTTGAGGCAAAACTTCGAAACTTCGCTCGCACGCACACAGGAAGAAATGCGGGGTAAAATATTCCACGATAAATCAATTTATAAAGGGTTCTACTTCTGGTTTGGTGGTGAATTCTTATCTTAACGGTAATCTGGAAGATAAACAATGTTATTTTAGTCTGCATGGATTCTTTTTCAACTAAACGAAATTTAAATTTAGGCTGAAAGTTGCGTTTTATATTTTAGGCATGTGCTACACCTTGACTTTCGCGATCCCCACCCCCCCCCCCCCCATGTCTTCATTTTCCAAGCAAATTTGAGTGGTCCCCCCTATGAATCCTTCCAAAGTTTTCGGCGATCTCCCCTTTTGGGTTCTCAGTCACGACTTTGTTCTCCCAAAAATCAAGTCATCCCCCCTATAATGACCGGTCCCTTAGCGGGGAAAAACAGTCTCCGAGAACGCATCTTTTCCAAAACGCTCTCCAGAGTGGAGATTTGTGAAAACGGCGGCTTTTCGTTTTCGAATACAATGATGTCATTCATTAAAAATACCTCATCGCATGACGCATGCTCAATAAGGTACGCTATCGTATTTCCATCTTTTTAGCGTTTTCGTATGGACGGGCGGAAGAAAGAATGTTAGATGAAATGGAATGTCATTCACAAAGAACAAAAACAGTGCGGGACCTAAGACACTTCCTTGCGGTACCCCTTGCTTGATAAGTAGAGAGTCTGATCTTTCACCGTCAATACTGACAAACTGGCAGGAAATGAATACACGCAACAAAAGGGAATTCAAATTTTGATCTTAGGGTTTAAAGGGTTAAATGAAGTGCGCTTTTTGTTCTTTATCGTACAAGCATGACATGTACTAAACAGATCCTTTCGAACCGACTGAAGAGAAGAAATTAACAATTGGTTTCTGAGTCAGCGTGCGTATGTCGAGATATGAAGCACGCAGGAAGTTTGGAGAGCACGAAAGAGGCGTAAGAGTTGCTCGAGTCGCGGCCAACTCTATTAATGATAATAAAAATTATAAAGAAGTCGAACTTACCAACTTCCAAATATGCCAAAACCATGCCAGTCAGCGTCCAAATTATTCAAAATGGTCACAGCTTGAAATACGAAGGAAGTTGCAACTTGAGTATCGGTTCAACGTTAAATTAACATTTTATTCACAGCATAAGTCGCATCAACTACAGATTACTTTCATTTGCTCCTTTCAACGTTTAAGTACATATAGTGTTTGATTTTGCCAAGGCCAGATTTTTAAACCATGCATTAGGTTACTTCCTCAAATAACTCGAGATGATCGACCTTCTTGAAGCTCATTGTTTGAACATTGCCTTGTCCCTTTACAGCGTCTTCCCAGGCCTCCTGGGCCAATGAATTTCGGTGACGTATCCGAGACGAACGGCCAGGCCATTGATTCGCTCGGACCACGTGACCCGAAATGCATAAGCCGTGGGGGAACCGTGGAACTAGTCATGCTAAACACTCATACGTTCTGAAAGTCTCCAAATAATCTTTAATGAGGGGTGGAAAAAGCTTCTTAGAGTATAACGCTCCAAAGCAGTCCAATCTCAAATCATTTTTAATTCTCCATTTTCAAACCTTGGTAAAACCGGCAGGATGAGATTTCCGTAAGCTGAGTCTTGCGAGATAAAATATCCAGAAGACGTAGTGTTCGCGTGCTAAAAAGCAAAAGAAAACGCTCCATAAAAGTCTAAGCATACCTCGCGATAGTCCCATATTAAGGAGGGTTTACTGTCTTGTATTGTCGTTTACTTGGCACTTAATTACGAAAAGATTTGAGACAGACAAAAATAAAACTGTTCCAATAGAACTGAGACAGGATACCATAAGCCTACAATGCGGGGATATTTTGCAGTCGAGCGCGCGATCAGTAGGTCTGCAGTGGCGGATCCAGGGGAGGGGCCAGGGTGTGTGGGCGGCCTCCGCCCCCCCCCCCTTATTTTTAGACCAAACTAAGGCCCCCCTACAGTGAATCGTTAGGGGGCTTTTGATTCTGAGACGAGAACGAACGAAAACGAGGATTTTCTCAAGCGTGAACCAGCGTCATTTTGGCGGGAAAACGTGACAGCCGTCATTCAACTACGAGTTTTAGCGACAATGTCGTCGTGGCGGGAACAAGTTATCAGTTAGAAGAAGTTTTATCATTTTGCTATCGGGAGAGGGCTTAACCTCGTTCAGAATACATAACCGTAGTAACTTTTTTGGTGTAAAAATGTAAAATGAAGCTTTCCGGGGTGTCTTTTTTTTTCTGAGAACCCGAGAAAAAACTTTAAGTTAAATCTCCTTTTCGTCCTCAAATCTAAAGCTCTCTTTTTGAAAGGTCAGTGCTACACATTGTCTTGGAAACGATCACGTCAGTCATTCAGGAAATCATGACGATGCACGAGAAAATAATCGGTAGCGCTATAATGAAATCCTTTAAATTTTCGTGTTGTTATTTTTCCAGGTCCATGACAGTCTGGCATCGACTTAGAATGCAATTTTTTTTTCTCCAAATCGGTTTTGCAAGGCGTGAAGCGCTAGCATAATATTTTCACACGAAGTGGGCCACGCCCGTTTCTGGTAACAACCGGTTTCGCTGCTTTTCGAATTCGTTCATCCTAGTTCGCAACAAATTCGCTACATATTACTTCCTGAAAACCACTGAAAATCTGCTGATATATTTCTCGCTCTTTTAAGCTTGCCCCTTCAAGGGTGCAAGTTTTAGACTTTGCCAATAGCCAGCAAGACAAATATGTAGGTAGCGAACTCGAACGTAGCGAATTTGACAAGTAGCGAAACCGTTGTAAAGCCCGTCTCACTGTTCGTTTTTACCCTCACTGCAAACCTCTGCTTTGACCGCTCGTGCACGCGTCCTGAACTTAGGCAAAAATACGGGCTGTTTTACAGTCCAGCATTGTCTAAATCATTAAAACCATTTCATAATGAGATGATATGTAGCAGGAAAGAATGTGACATAAAGTATTTTGATGAAACGTTTTACACGACACAAAGCATCTGATTTAGAAGCTATAATAATTACTTTTGACAGAGTGAGTGGTTTTTATACTACAAATGTAAATCTTTTAACCCTTTAAACCCTAAGATCAAAATTTGAATTCTCATTTGTTGCCCCTATTCATTTCCTACAGAAGTAGTGGGGAGAAGTTGATAAACTATCAAGCTAATTCATCCTGTGTGATCATGTCCGTAATTCTCATGACCACTCTTTTTAACAAAGCCTTGTTACTACAAGGAGAAATTTAATGCTGATCACTCTTAGGGCTTCAAGGGTTAAGTGATGTAAACCAACCTCTAGTGCCTGTCGCTGGCTCAATGCCATGTCAGCTGGGTTGCGAATAACCTAAAAGCAATAGAGCATTTTTACAGAGGTTTATTTAAATGATAACAGTTGAAGTGTTCAATCTAAGCTACGTTTCTCCGTCATTGACGTGGAATACCGTAAAATTCCGAAAATAAGCCCCGGCGCTGATATTTTTCAAAGGCCATTATTGAGGGGCTTATTTTTTGAAGGGCTTATATTCGGAGGGGCTTATGGATGGAGGGAAATTAAAAATCGATTGTGCTAGCCTTCTTCTTGCAAGGAAAACTACCCTTTTTCTTCGTTTTACTTTGTATTTGACGGACATTTCCAAGTACAAGCCTCCCGCGGGGCTTATATTTGGGGGGACGATTTAACGGAGGGTTTTTTGCGTAACGAGCTTGGGGGGCTTATATTTGGAGGGACTTATACATGGAGGGACTTATTTTCGGAATTTTACGGTATCCTCTTCTGACCCAAAATGAAATAATCGTGGAATCATACTGACGCAAAAAAGTTACTTCATATTATAAGTACTTCCAAAGCAGCAGGTAATAATATAAGTAATTAAAAAAAAATAAGTGCGCTTACTAGCCTGAAATGAGCGCACAGAATGACTATCATTCAATTTCAGACTTCGTGCTTACGATTAGTTTTTATGTCAGGCATTCCACGCAATTCTGAGAGAGACTGGAGAGTACATTTGAACGCTCTGCATGCAGCGGTACATTGCTTTGCCGATTGATTTGCCCTTCGTTTGTTGACTTCATTCTTTCGTTTTCGTTCCATTATGAAACAGCAACAAAAGCTAAGTTCATTTTTTACAAAAAAAAAAATGGCAGTTGAATCTGAAAAGCATGAAGATATCAATTAGTGTTGTTCAAAGTTTTAATATCATAGTTTGACCCAGACCATTTTTGAAATGACCCAATTTAAAATGCCATGTGGGACATATGACCCACTTTGACCAATTTCTAGATTGATCACTGAACAGTTCCAAATTCCACATTGGCCCTACTTGTTCAAAAGGAGAAAACCATGATCCACTCAACAAATTCAATTTAACGGATAAGACAATTGGCCTTACTTTTCCTAATCTTAAGTGTACATGTATCTATTAGATAGGGATTTATCTAGCAGATATTGTTTATTCAATTTTGAAAAAGCAGGTCTGTTTTTTAAAACTCTGAAGAAGCGACCATACAAAGTGCACAAGTTAACCACAAAACTTGAAGCCTAATTATGTATAACTTATAGTCAGGTGGCTAAAGGCTCAGATCTATACAGAGTGGACAAAAGCACCAAACTTTGCATGGTTGTAGCTTAGGGTATGTTAGTCAATATTAGGATCGGTGCCCACAGCTACCTCTTCAGGATTTGCAGCAACTGCTCGTTGAAGTTCTTCAACAACCTTCCATGATGGGTGCCCTGTGCTGAAAATTGTAATCACTTGTTTTTTGCCATTTTTTGATAAAAATCACATAAAAAGGGAAGTAGATGGAAAAAGAAACTGTATTAATACTATTATTATTGAAACCAATGACTAAAACAAGTCAACTTAATGATATAGCAATATACCAAGATACCATGGTGGGTATCCTGTGCTAAAAAATATCAATTCCTTGATTTTTGCCATTATTTTGATGAAAATCACATGAAAGACAAGAAAATAAAAAAAGAAATTGTATTATTATTCAAACCAATTACAAAAACAAGTCAACTAAATGGAAAATCCAAGGAAGATGTTTTCAGACGTGTACCCAGTCCCAAATAGCCTTTCAAGATGGCGGCTTGAAGGTGTCTTTTCATGGACTGTAAGTATCTGCTAGAATAAATTGCCGTTTTTTAGGAGAAATTGTGCACAATTTGAATCACGACAGGTTTAAGTGAAGTTTTCAGCTCTTCTTGGTGATAAATTTGTTATCGAAAGCTACATTTTCGCTTCATATTTTGTGCCTATTATGAATGACTAAACTGAGTTTATTAACTTACTGGTTAGTTAAAGGTTTCTGAAGCTGAGATGTTTTCTACACACCAGGCTGGATATTAACTGAGATCGTTGTTATATTTGCCAAGAATCAACAAAAGAAGATATATTTTAGAGATATATATTTTTGAGATATCAGCATGCAAGAACAAGAAAAGAAGAAGTGTCTGTTTTTTTTTTTTTGAAAAGGCGATACTTAGTCCAAAGGGCTCGTTTTCTGACGAAAAAAAATAAAACAACTACTACAAAACGAAACCCTACTTTACAGAGAAAAGCCGGCGGTATTTTGCATATTTTTTCCTGTCAGCTCCATTTTGCAGATCGTGGTAGCCACGTTGCAGCCCATTATAGCTCGACTGGGGACAAAGTCGAAACAAAACGTAGCCTCCGGTACCATATCAAATTTATTTGATAGAAACGACTACAAACGGTCATTACGTTTCTTGAAATAATGACAAAGAAAAAAACTAATCAATATAATAGCAAAATCATTTTATCTACAATACAGACTACGTACATATTGCCTATTCTAGTCTACAGTTGATGCTCAGTGGCTCAAAAGTGACAATACAAGACTAGTGCTTTATTGCAAACAAGCCGACATTATACTGATAATATTTGTTAATTTGTGCATGGTACCAACGCAAGAAGGGAATTTGAAGGTCTAAATCTGGAAAGCGAAAAGAGAGAATACTGGATGATATCACCTGCAAAGCAGTGCAGGAGTCTGTTGCAACCCCATGGAGATATCCTACACATAAAATATCGATTTTCGTTGACATTTCATTTTTCCTTATTTTGTTGTTATTCTGGCCTTCCTTGATAATGCTCAGCTTCGCGTCCAACTACAACGTTTTGTGCTCCAAACCACTGCCTCTCCATTTCTTCAGCCCTCGCTAAGGTCACATTTCTAAATGTTAACTCAATGAATGCGACACGAAATTGTCTGATTCTGATACAGTAAATCACAGGATTTAGTAACGAGTTCAAATACACTACCGTGACAGCGAAAAAGCCAATTATATAAAAGGTATTTAGGGAGGGTGTATAAATAATAAAAAGGAAAGTTCTACAAAACATTAACGGGGAATAACAAAGTAACAGGACCCCAATTATAGTAGATGTTAATTTGAAGGCCTTTTTGTCTTTTTCAAATTGTTTCCTTGCTTCCTGTGTAACTTGCTGTGCTGCAACTTGCTTTGCGTGCCGGCGAGTTTCGATGTAAACTGAAAAATGACAGAAAATAATTACAGCAAAGGATAGTCCGATAACTATATTGTTAATTCTATAAAACAGAAACGTATCAACAGCAAGTGCAACGTGCACCATCACAGCCAGGAGCCAAGTTAGTAGAGAAGCAACCAGTAAACGAGCTTCTGTGACGATGGTAATGTGTTGGTACGGGTATTTAATGGCTACATAGCGTTCCCCGCTTGCTAAGGCCAGGTGAAGTAGCGAGCTAGTGAACAAGCAGTTTGAAATAGCAAAAGACAAAATTTCCGTTAGGCACGACTGGCCATTGCTTTCCTGAAGCAAGATAGATATCATTCCATCGATGAAGATGGGCTGAGCAAGAATTCCCACCAAAAGATCGGTCAAAGCAAGCATGGCTAATACAATGTTCGACTTTTGCGCCCTTAATCGGTATTTCGTCTTCACGGCGATCATCACCAGTGCGTTCAAGACGGCAATAACGGGAACAGTGATGATGTTGATGATTATGTACAAGATAAGAACACCTTGAAAGAAAAAGGAGGGCGGTTGAAGATCTCCGAATAAACTTTCTTCGGCCGTGCATGGAGGGGGAACGGACTCGTTTGTTGCTTGACTTGAGTTCATCACTTCTTCAAATTTTTCTTTGCCACGGAATTTGAAAAACGAAGGAGCGAATCCTTTTTGCACCTTTTAAGACTGAAACTCTCTTCTTTTTGTTATGAGCGAATTTACCACTTGCTATATATAACATCACAAACCAAATCCGTTCTTATTGGTCAAAACCTTGTCTTTGTTTAGTCAGGGGCCGACTTGGATTTTCGTTTTGGCTTTATGCCATTTTTATTGTCGGTTTTCTTTCTGTTTGCTCTGCCGATTTTTAGCTTAGTGTTATTAGTGGATCGGTCTTTCGTTCTTAAAAAGTTTGGTTTTTGGATTTTGTAGAAAAGAAAAGGCATAATCCTTGCGCAGTTCCTCTTAAATAAACTCTATTTAAAGTACATCTGTGATCGGACTTGTTTAAATTGCTTTAATTCTTAATTTCAGTTACTTCACTCGCAAAAACAAAACTGAATGATCCAGTTTCAGGAGATAACTTGGTTTCTAAACCAACGAGAAAATAAAGTTGACTTCATAAACCAGTGAAATCTCAACGCAGGAAACAGAAAAAAAGATTGTGTAGTTTAAAAGGCAAAACGGAAATCCAAATATATTTAAAACAACCACAAACTCAGAGGTTTAATACAGTTAATTCCTCGTGAAAGTTTGGTTTTTGGCTTTTGTAAAAAGGAAAAGCCATAATCCTTGCATAGTTCTTCGTAAAAAGCACAATATTTAAATTACACGTGCGACTTGTTTCAATTGCTTTCTCAATTTTAGTTGCTTCACTCCAGAAACGAAAACGATTTAGTTTCAGGGGATAATTTTCAAAACCAATTTCAATGCAAGAAACAGAAAAACATTGCTTTGTTTAAAAGGCAAAACGGAAGTCCAAATATCTAGAAAACAACAACGAACGCAGAGTTTTAAAACTTAATACTTGCTTTTTAATACGCGTGTACAATTACAAGAAAGTCAACGACTCGGCAGACGGTTTAGGGTAGAAAACTGTGTATAGCTCTAGACAGAAAAAAAATCAAGACATCCCTAATATTTCAAAGCACGTTGTTTTTAGTCGAAACTAGGTTTGCACAAATAGTGTAAATAAAACGAAAACAGAAAATTAATTTTTGATACTAAAATACTGCCTATAAAAATTTTAGCCTTGATGTACCACTTAAGATATTCAATAAATTTTATTTTCAATTTAATAAATTTAATAAATTTTTTCTCATTTAGCTGTTAAAAACAAACATAATCCACAGTAGGAATAATAATAATTATAGTGATTTCATCGTAAAAAGCCGCTCTATTTTTCATATGGCATCTGTGAGTTGTTCAAACCATACCCACTTTCGGTTAGTTCAGTTGAAGTAACGAACATATACCTGGTCCGGTTTTGTAATGCTCTCTGTAATGTTATGCTCTTGAATTAAAGAGAAAGGAATTTTAACGTTTCTTTCCTTGTTACAAAATATAATTAAGAATACTGTACATTTTCTACATCGTTAAACTAACTGCCAAAAGCAAAAACAAAGTTGAGCTTTAAACTAAGCGAAATCTCAAAAACTTCAGCTTTCAACCTGTAATTCACAAAAATGTCCCTATCATAATGAGCTCGCTAGTGGAAATGTTCATTTCCAGGTCTCAAAAATCATTTCGTTGCCAGTAGAAAACCTTTGTCGCCAGCGTTAAAAAAGCGCTCGGATTTTGCATGTAAAAAACTGCTGTTATTTAAAACTAGAGAGAGCCGACAAAAAATTAATCTTTTAATAATTTGACCGGCTTTTTAAGAAACTTTTTTTTATAATCCTTCTGGATTAGGAAGTGAAAATTAACCGTTGATATTAAACTAAATTCTAAATCTTCAAATAACAATTTCGGAACTCTCACAGCAAATCGGCCGGAATGAAGCAAACCTCTCTCCCCGAAGGTCATTAGCAGGGCTTCTAGTTCAAAAATTTAAAACTTTTGGTTAAAAGAAAATTAACTGTTTCTTTTTCCCTAAAAAACTGAAGCGTGGGAGTACCATATGCAGGTGAAAATAGAGAGACATTCGCCATGTCGTACTCATTAAGTTCAGTTCATGGCTTTGTTGTTTTCATCTAGCTATAGGTCAAGCAAGATGCTATCACACATTTCTTTTGGGACTGCCCTTATTCGAATTCATTCTGGAAATGTGTTGAATCATATTATTTTGGGTTGCGAAAACAACTAGTTCATCTGACATTAAAGGAAATTTGGATCGGCTTTTTAACTTCCGAATGCCCCTTGCTTAATTATCTTATACTTATAGGAAAGATACATTTATGGAGTTGCAGAGGGAATGAACAACCATAAACAGTTTTATAGTTAGAGTAACGGTAAATATGAAACAGAAAAATATATTTGCACTAAGAATAACAGGTGCAAAAATTAATGGACAAATGGACTTTGTAGACTAGTTAACTTTCTTCTTTTGGTAAAATGATTAGTTTCTTCTTTTTTGAATAGCACTTGTAACATAACAGTAGGCATACCTTGTGTGGTGATTGTGGAATTGCATGTGTACTTTATAGGTGTGTACTCCGTTTGTACATGTATGCTTTGTGATAATAATTGCAATTGTTGTACTTTGGAATAACAAATGAAATTAAAAAAAACCTTCTCTTTTCCAATTCGCAGATTCACAGTAAAATTTAACTTTTCTTTCCGACCTTCGTCAGTTACGCTTGCCCTTTCTTGCTGTCTAAGTGTACTCCGTTTTGTGTTAGGGAAAGCGATTGCCTCTAAGCTTGACTTCTAGTTGGTCGCTTTGGCCACACGAGGTACAGTACGACGGAGCGAAAAGAAAAAAAAAACACTACTGCAACACACTCCACACTAAGGCCTTGGCCCGCCAGAATAGCTAGCAACGAAAGGAAAAAAAACTATTTAAAATCTTTTAAAGTTTTGGTAAATTTATCAGGAATAGGGAATAATTTTAATCGGTAGTAACTGTTTCAGCGTACAAAAACTGAAAGATACTGAAGATTGAATCTACAGGACCTCTGTCGTAATTTTATTGCAACTGTCGAAACGGAATTTCAAACTGATTATTGGGTAACTTGATTTAAGATCTACAACACTTTGATAATGTTATGACGTCATTTTATAACACCAATAAGTCAAACTCGTACCCAGTCGCTATTTATGTGTTTTTGGGATGAGAGAAGATTGGGGGTTAGGTTGAGGCGCGCGGGGTCTCATGGGAAGGTACGAAGGAAAAAAAGCGACAAGTCTGTCAATGAGTGGACAGACGATAAAAAACTGGCGTCAATTTGTTAAAACAAGTCTAAAGATCTATTCGCAGATTTTATTACTAGCCCTAAAAGAGAAAGTGAACTACAAGAGTCTCCATACAACAATTACATCCAATCTGGCTATTTTACCGTTTAACAGTCTGAAAATTTCTTTCATTAGGCGAAAAAACACAATGAATTTTCTTTAATGCATTTCAATATGCGTAGTCTACCTAACAATCTAACATCGCTGGAAGAAATTATTTGGACTATAAAAGGGAGTCCGAAAATTATAGCCATATCCGAAACAAAACTACAAAGAAAAAAACATTAATAATATTAGCACATGGCCGGTTATGTTTTCCTGAAGAATAATTCACCAACAAGTCAGCTGACAAGTGCACTGGAGGCATAAAGGCTGTCTGCCTGAGTTATTCGACAACACGTTTCAATATGCTAGTAATATCCATTGCTACAACACGGGATAAAGAGCTGAGGAAAATGTTTATAAGCCGAGCCTACGAACAAACATAGGCAAGCAATCAATCTCTTTTATGGCTACGGACATTTAGAATGATCTTCCAACTCATTTAAAAAACTCAAGTGTGTCTGCGTTTCCCAAGAAAATTATACGCTATCTACAGCCAGAACAACAAATGAAATGAATTTTCGTCTTCCTAATGAAGCAACATACTTAATGTAAATAAGTTCTTTCTTCTTTGTTTTTGTTTTATTTCTTTTGATTTTACCTGCTACCTAGAATAAATTGTTGAGGGAGCTAACAAGAAAACCAGCTGGTTCATTTAGCTTCCTAGCTTGCCCTTTATTCTCATTACATTTAACTTATCTTCTATTGTAAGTAAATTTACTTGATTGTAATATCAACCATGTACATCCACAAAAGCATAATAAAGATTCTTCTCCTTATTATTATTATTATTATTATTATTATTATTATTATTATTATTATTATTATTATTATTACTATTATTATTATTATCCCCGTGAAGATTGCCTACAGATAAAATATTGATTTTAGCTGGCATTTAATCTTTCCGTATCTTGTTGTTCTGGCCTTCCTTGATCTTGCCCAGTCTCGCGTCCAACCACAACATTTTTTGCTCCAAACCACTGCATCTCCATTTCTTCAGCCTTCGCTGACGTTACATTTCTTAATGTTAACTCAATCCTTGCGACACGAAATTGCCTGATTCTGATACAGTAAATCACAGGATTTAGTAACGAGTTCAAAAACACTACCGTGAGAGCGAAAAAGTCAATTATATAAAAGGTATTTAAGGAGGGCTCTAAAAAGTTTAAAAGGACAGTTCTACTAAACATCAACGGAGAATAACAAAGTAAAAGAACCCTAACTATAGTAGATGTTAGTTTGAAGGCCTTTTTATCTTTTTCAAATTGTTTTCTGGCTTCCTCTGTAATTTGCTGCGCTGCAACTTGCTGTTCGTGTCGGCGAGTTTCGAGGAACACTGACAAATGACAGAACACAATTACAGCAACAGACAGACCGATAACTGTATTGTTAATGCTAAAAAATACATCCGTGTTAATGGCAAGTGCAAAGTGCACCGTCACAGCCAAAGCCACGTTAGAAGAGACGCAACCAGCAAACGAGACTCGGTGACGATGGTAATGTGTTGGTATGGGTATTTAATGGCTAAATAGCGCTCGCCACTCGCTAACGCCAGGTGAAGTACTGAGCTAGTGAACAACCAGTTTGCGAGAACTATGAAACCAATTTGAATGACACCTGACTGGCAATCGCTTTCCTGAAGCAAGATAGAAATCGTCCCTGCAGTGAAGATGGGCTGAGCAAGTATTCCAACAAAAAAGTCAGTCAATGCAAGCAAAGCTAATACAATGTTCGATTTTTGCGCCCTTAATCGGGATTTCGTTTTCACGGCGATCATCACCAGCGCGTTCGCGTTATTTTCTAAAACAACAGATCGGTTGTTAGTTTACCGGCGCAATATTTAAACCCATTTTTGATAAGAGGAATCAATCACTCGCTTTCGACTTGTGTTCTACTAGCATTTTTATGTTGTGAGTTTATTTAAACGCGGATACCCAAAGGAAAGTTTCACCTCTTACTTACTTGATAGCTAAAAAGACGGTGCGTTTACTCTTAACTCCACTTTTACTTCTTTCAGATAGCTTTTTCAACCAAAATGCAGAGTTTTTCCCCCAATTTCGCCACATGCGAAAGAAGTATTTAATTGCTGCTTGAAGATAACGACCAGGAGAGATCATGATTATATCTTCGTAGCAAACTGAAATACAATCAAGTCACCCAGGTGAAAAAGATTCGGAAGACGGTTTAGGGTTGATTGGAAAAACGTGTGTAGCTCTAGACAGAAAACAATCAAGACATTCCTAATATTGTAAAGCACGTTATTTCTAGTCGCAACCAGTTTTGCACAAATAGTTTAAATAAAAGGAAAACAGAAAATTAATTTTTTATCCTAAAATACTGCCTAGTATGCAAATTTTAGACTTGATGTACCACTTAAGATATTCAATAAATTCTACTTTCATTTAAATGATTTCTCATTTAGCTGTTAAAAACAATCATAATCTACAAAAGGAATAATGCTTGATACTCTTTAATAGTGATTTCATCGTAAAAAGCCGTTTTAATTTTCAGATGGCATCTGTGAGCTGTTTTAGGTAGCCCGAACCTATTTTTATGCGCGTTAGTTATCTTTTTAAATCGCGTTTTTCGGCAAGAACGATTTAACCGATTTCTATGATTTTTGGCATCCTTTATAAAGAATGGTGGAACTTGAAGAAAATGTCATTTACTTTCTTGTAGAGATATATATTTTTGAGATATCAGCATGCAAGAACAAGAAAAGAAGAATAAATGTCTTTTTTTTTTTTTAAGAGGCGATACTTAGTCCAAAGGGCTCGTTTTCTGACGAAAAAAATAAAACAACTACTACAAAAACGAAACACTGCTTTACAGAGAAAAGCTGGCGGTATTTTGCATAGTTTTTCCCGTTAGCTCCATTTTGCAGATCGTGGTAACCACGTTGCAGCCCATTATAGCTCGACTGGGGACAAAGTCGAAACAAAACGTAGCCTCCGGTACCATATCAAATTTATTTGATAGAAACGACTAGAAACGGTCATTATGTTCTTGAAATAACGACAAAGAAAAAAACTAATCAATATATTAGCACAATCATTTTATCTACAATACAGACTACGTACATATTGCCTATTCTAGTCTACAGTTGATGCTCAGTGGCTCAAAAGTGACAATACAAGACAAGTGCTTTATTGCAAACAAGCCGACATTATACTGATAATATTGTTTATTTGTGGTACAAACGCAAGAAGGGAATTTGAAGGTCTAAATCTGGAAAGCGAAAAGAGAGAATACTGGATGATATCCCCTGCAAAGCACTGCAGGAGTCTGTTCCAACCCCATGGAGATAACCTACACATAAAATATCGATTTTCGTTGACATTTCATTTTTCCTTATTTTGTTGTTATTCTGGCCTTCCTTGATAATGCTCAGCTTCGCGTCCAACCACAACGTTTTGTGCTCCAAACCACTGCCTCTCCATCTCTTCAGCCCTCGCTACGTTCACATTTCTAAATGTTAACTCAATGAATGCGACACGAAATTGTCTGATTCTGATACAGTAAATCACAGGATTTAGTAACGAGTTCAAATACACTACTGTGACAGCGAAAAAGCCAATTATATAAAATGTATTTAAGGTGGGTGTATAAATAATTACAAGGAAAAGTCTACAAAACATTAACGGGGAATAACAAAGTAAAAGGACGCCAATTATAGTAGATGTTAATTTGAAGGCCTTTTTGTCTTTTTCAAATTGTTTCCTTGCTTCCTGTGTAACTTGCTGTGCTGCAACTTGCTTTGCGTGCCGGCGAGTTTCGATGTAAACTGAAAAATGACAGAAAATAATTACAGCAAAGGATAGTCCGATAACTATATTGTTAATTCTATAAAACAGAAACGTGTCAACAGCAAGTGCAACGTGCACCACCACAGCCAGGAGCCAAGTTGGTAGAGAAGCAACCAGTAAACGAGACTCTGTGACGATGGTAATGTGCTGGTATGGGTATTTAATGGCTACATAGCGCTCCCCGCTGGCTAAGGCCAGGTGAAGTAGCGAGCTAGTGAACAAGCAGTTTGAAATAGCAAAAGACAAAATTTCCGTTAGGCACGACTGGCCATTGCTTTCCTGAAGCAAGATAGATATCATTCTATCGATGAAGATGGGCTGAGCAAGAATTCCCACCAAAAGATCGGTCAAAGCAAGCATGGCAAATACAATGTTCGACTTTTGCGCCCTTAATCGGGATTTCGTCTTCACGGCGATCATCACCAGTGCGTTCAAGACGGCAATAACGGGAACAGTGATGATGTTGATGATTATGTACAAGATAAGAAAACCTTGAAAGAAAAAGGAAGGCGGCTGAAGATCTCCGAATAAACTTTCTGCGGCCGTGCATGGAGGAGGGACGGACTCGTTTGTTGCTTGACTTGAGTTCATCACTTCTTCAAATTTTTCTTTGCCACGGAATTTGAAAAACGAAGGAGCGAATCCTTTTTGCACCTTTTAAGACTGAAACTCTCTTCTTTTTGTTATGAGCGAATTTACCACTTGCTATATATAACATCACAAACCAAATGCGTTCTTATTGGTCAAAACCTTGTCTTTGTTTAGTAAGCCCGGGGCCGACTTGGATTTTCGTTTTGGCTTTATGCCATTTTTATTGTCGGTTTTCTTTCTGTTTGCACTGCCGATTTTTAGCTTAGTGTTCTTAGTGGATCGGTCTTTCGTTCTTTCTTAAAAAGTTTGGTTTTTGGATTTTGTAGAAAAGAAAAGGCATAATCCTTGCGCAGTTCCTCTTAAATAAACTCTATTTAAAGTACATCTGTGATCGGACTTGTTTAAATTGCTTTAATTCTTAATTTCAGTTACTTCACTCGCAAAAACAAAACTGAATGATCCAGTTTCAGGAGATAACTTGGTTTCTAAACCAACGAGAAAATAAAGTTGACTTCATAAACCAGTGAAATCTCAACGCAGGAAACAGAAAAAAGATTGTGTAGTTTAAAAGGCAAAACGGAAATCCAAATATATTTAAAACAACCACAAACTCAGAGGTTTAATACAGTTAATTCCTCGTGAAAGTTTGGTTTTTGGCTTTTGTAAAAAAGAAAAGCCATAATCCTTGCATAGTTCTTCGTAAAAAGCTTTAATATTTAAATTACACGTGCGACTTGTTTCAATTGCTTTCTCAATTTTAGTTGCTTCACTCCAGAAACGAAAACGATTTAGTTTCAGGGGATAATTTTCAAAACCAATTTCAATGCAAGAAACAGAAAAACATTGCTTTGTTTAAAAGGCAAAACGGAAGTCCAAATATCTAGAAAACAACAACGAACGCAGAGTTTTAAAACTTAATACTTGCTTTTTAATACGCGTGTACAATTACAAGAAAGTCAACGATTCGGCAGACGGTTTAGGGTAGAAAACTGTGTATAGCTCTAGACAGAAAAACAATCAAGACATCCCTAATATTTCAAAGCACGTTGTTTTTAGTCGAAACTAGGTTTGCACAAATAGTGTAAATAAAACGAAAACAGAAAATTAATTTTTGATACTAAAATACTGCCTATAAAAATTTTAGCCTAATGTACCACTTAAGATATTCAATAAATTTTATTTTCAATTTAATAAATTTAATAAATATTTTCTCATTTAGCTGTTAAAAACAAACATAATCCACAGTAGAAATAATAATAATTATAGTGATTTCATCGTAAAAAGCCGCTCTATTTTTCATATGGCATCTGTGAGTTGTTCAAACCATACCCACTTTCGGTTAGTTCAGTTGAAGTAACGAACATATACCTGGTCCGGTTTTGTAATGCTCTTTGTAATGTTATGCTCTTGAATTAAAGAGAAAGGAATTTTAACGTTTCTTTCCTTGTTACAAAATATAATTAAGAATACTGTACATTTTCTACATCGTTAAACTAACTGCCAAAAGCAAAAACAAAGTTGAGCTTTAAACTAGGCGAAATCTCAAAAACTTCAGCTTAATTCAACCTGTAATTCACAAAAATGTCCCTATCATAATGAGCTCGCTAGTGGAAATGTTCATTTCCAGGTCTCAAAAATCATTTCGTTGCCAGTAGAAAACCTTTGTCGCCAGCTTTAAAAAAGCGCTCGGATTTTGCATGTAAAAAACTGCTGTTATTTAAAACTAGAGAGAGCCGACAAAAAATTAATCTTTTAATAATTTGACCGGCTTTTTAAGAAACTTTTTTTTTATAATCCTTCTGGATTAGGAAGTGAAAATTAACCGTTGATATTAAACTAAATTCTAAATCTTCAAATAACAATTTCGGAACTCTCACAGGAAATCGGACGGAATGAAGCAAACCTCTCTCCCCGAAGGTCATTAGCAGGGCTTCTAGTTCAAAAATTTAAAACTTTTGGTTAAAAGAAAATTAACTGTTTCTTTTTCCCTAAAAAACTCAAGCGTGGGAGTACCATATGCAGGTGAAAATAGAGAGACATTCGCCATGTCGTAGTCATTAAGTTCAGTTCATGGCTTTGTTGTTTTCATCTAGCTATAGGTCAAGCAAGATGCTATCACACAATTCTTTTGGGACTGCCCTTATTCGAATTCATTCTGGAAATGTGTTGAATCATATTATTTTAGGTTGCGAAAACAACTAGTTCATCTAACATTAAAGGAAATTTGAATCGGCTTTTTAACTTCCGAATGCCCCTTGCTTAATTATCTTATACTTATAGGAAAGATACATTTATGGAGTTGCAGAGGGAATGAAGTACTCTCAACCATAAACAGTTTTATAGTTAGAGTAAACGGTAAATATGAAACAGAAAAATATATTTGCACTAAGAATAAGAGGTTGCAAAAATTAATGGACAAATGGACTTTGTAGACTAGTTAACTTTCTTCTTTTGGTATAATGATTAGTTTCTTCTTTTTTGAATAGCACTTGTAACATAGCAGTAGGCATACCTTGTGTGGTGATTGTGGAATTGCATGTGTACTTTATAGGTGTGTACTCCGTTTGTGCATGTATGCTTTGTGATAATAATTGCAATTGTTGTACTTTGGAATAACAAATGAAATTAAAAAAAAACCTTCTCTTTTCCAATTCGCAGATTCACAGTAAAATTTAACTTTTCTTTCCGACCTTCGTCAGTTACGCTTGCCCTTTCTTGCTGTCTAAGTGTACTCCGTTTTGTGTTAGGGAAAGCGATTGCCTCTAAGCTTGACTTCTAGTTGGTCGCTTTGGCCACACGAGGTACAGTACGACGGAGCGAAAAGAAAAACAAAAAACACTGCTGCAACACACTCCACACTAAGGCCTTGGCCCGCCAGAATAGCTAGCAACGAAAGGAAAAAAAACTATTTAAAATCTTTTAAAGTTCTGGTAAATTTAACAGGAATAGGGAATAATTTTAATCGGTAGTAACTGTTTCAGCGTACAAAAACTGAAAGATACTGAAGATTGAATCTACAGGACCTCTGTCGTAATTTTATTGCAACTGTCGAAACGGAATTTCAAATTGATTATTGGGTAACTTGATTTAAGATCTACAACACTTTGATAATGTTATGACGTCATTTTATAATACCAATAAGTCAAACTCGTACCCAGTCGCTATTTATGTGTTTTTGGGATGAGAGAAGATTGGGGGTTAGGTTGAGGCGCGCGGGGTCTCATGGGAAGGTACGAAGGAAAAAAAGCGACAAGTCTGTCAATGAGTGGACAGACGATAAAAAACTGGCGTCAATTTGTTAAAACAAGTCTAAAGATCTATTCGCAGATTTTATTACTAGCCCTAAAAGAGAAAGTGAACTACAAGAGTCTCCATACAAAAATTACATCCAATCTGGCTATTTTACCGTTTAACAGTCTGGAAATTTCTTTCATTAAGCGAAAAAACAAAATGAATTTTCTTTCATGCATTTCAATATGCGTAGTCTACGTAGAAATCTAACATCGTTGGAAGAAATTATTTGGACTATAAAAGGGAGTCTGGAAATTATAGCCATATCCGAAACAAAACTACAAAGAAAAAAACGTTAATAATATTAGCATGGCCGGTTACGTTTTCCTGAAGAATAATTCACCAACAAATGCACTGGAGGCATAAAGGCTGTCTGCCTGAGTTATTCGACAACATGTTTCAATATGCTAGTAATATCCATTGCAACAACACGGGATAAAGAGCTGAGGAAAATCTTTATAAGCCGAGCGTACGAACAAACGTAGGCAAGCAATCAATCTCTTTCATGGCTACGGACATTTGGAATGATCTTCCAACTCATTTACAAAACTCAAGTGTGTCTGCGTGTCCGAAGAAAATTATACGCTATCTACTGCCAGAACAACAAATGAAATGAATTTTCGTCTTGCTAATGAAGCAACATACTTAATGTAAATAAGTTCTTTCTTCTTTGTTTTTGTTTTATTTCTTTTGATTTTACCTGCTACCTAGAATAAATTGTTCAGGGAGCTAACAAGAAAACCAGCTGGTTCATTTAGCTTCCTAGCTTGCCCATTATTCTCATTACATTTAACTTATCTTCTATTGTAAGTAAATTTACTTGATTGTAATATCAACCATGTACATCCACAAAAGCATAATAAAGATTCTTCTCCTTATTATTATTATTATTATTATTATTATCATTATTATTATTATTATTATTATTATTATTATTATCCCCGTGAAGATTGCCTACAGATAAAATATTGATTTTAGCTGGCATTTAATCTTTCCGTATTTTGTTGTTCTGGCCTTCCTTGATCTTGCCCAGTCTCGCGTCCAACCACAACATTTTTTGCTCCAAACCACTGCATCTCCATTTCTTCAGCCTTCGCTGACGTTACATTTCTAAATGTTAACTCAATCATTGCGACACGAAATTGCCTGATTCTGATACAGTAAATCACAGGATTTAGTAACGAGTTCAAAAACACTACCGTGAGAGCGAAAAAGTCAATTATATAAAAGGTATTTAAGGAGGGCTCTAAAAAGTTTAAAAGGACAGTTCTACTAAACATCAACGGGAGAATAACAAAGTAAAAGAACCCCAACTATAGTAGATGTTAGTTTGAAAACGTTTTTATCTTTTTCAAATTGCTTTCTGGCTTCCTCTGTAATTTGCTGCGCTGCAACTTGCTGTTCGTGTTGGCGAGTTTCGAGGAACACTGACAAATGACAGAACACAATTACAGCAACAGACAGACCGATAACTGTATTGTTAATGCTTAAAAATACATCCGTGTTAATGGCAAGTGCAAAGTGCACCGTCACAGCCAGAAGCCACGTTAGAAAGGACGCAACCAGCAAACGAGACTCGGTGACGATGGTAATGTGTTGGCATGGGTATTTAATGGCTAAATAGCGCTCGCCACTCGCTAACGCCAGGTGAAGTACTGAGCTAGTGAATAAGCAGTTTGCGAGAACTATGAAACCAATTTGAATGACACCTGACTGGCAATCGCTTTCCTGAAGCAAGATAGAAATCGTCCCTGCAGTGAAGATGGGCTGAGCAAGTATTCCAACAAAAAAGTCAGTCAATGCAAGCAAAGCTAATACAATGTTCGATTTTTGCGCCCTTAATCGGGATTTCGTTTTCACGGCGATCACCACCAGCGCGTTCAAGACGGCAGTGATAGGAACAGTGATGATGTTGATGATTATGTACAAGATAAGAACACCTTGAAAGAAAAAGGAAGGCTGCTGAAGATTTCCGAACATCCTCTCAGCGGCCAGGCAAGAAGAGAGGACGGACTCGTTTGTAGCTTGACTTGAATTCATCACTTCACTCAATTTTTCTTTGACACGGAATTTGTAAACGAAGAGGCGATTTTAAGGCTGAAACTCTCTTCTTTTTGTTACAAGCGAATTTACCACTCGCTATATCTAACATTACACAACACATGAGTTCTTATTGGTCAAAACCTATTCTCTGTTTAGTGGGGCCGACTTGGATTTTCGTTTTGACTTTAAGCCATTTTTAATATCGGTTTTCTTTCTTTTAGTTTGCACTGCAGATTTTGGCTTAGTGTTCTCAGTGGATTTTTTAACCTTTGTAAAAAAGAAAACGCATAATCCCTGTATAGTTCATCTTAACTAAACTTTATTTTAATAACACACGACTTGTTTCAATTGCTTTCGCATTTTCAGTTACGTCACACGCAGAACCGAAAATGATCTTCAGTTTTAGGAAATACTAGACTTGCTATCTAGACCAACGAGAAAATAAAGTTGACCTGATAAATGAATGAAATCTCGACGAAATAAACAAAAAAACATTGCTTTTTTTAAAAGACGAAACAGTGGTCCAAATACATGTAAAACAATTAAAAAAAACAAACTCAATTAATTCCGCGTGAAATTTTGGTTTTTAGTTTTTGTCAAAAAAAAGGCTATAATCCTTGTGTAGTTCCTCGTAAAGAAACTTCATTGAAATTACATCTGTGACTTGTTGAAACTGTTTTCTCTATTTCAGCTACTTTACTGGCGCAGAAACGAAGATGATCTATAGTTGTAGGAGATAACAGCTTTCTATAGACCAAGGAGAAAACAAAATTGACCTGATAAACAAGAAAAATCTCAACGCAAGACACCAGAAAAATATTGCGTTCTTTAAAAGACAAAACGGAAGTTTAAATCTATGTTAAACAACAACAACAAAAAAGTCACAGGTTTAATGCAGTTAATTCCTTAGGTCTAAATACCCACATTGCCGTTTGCGTTACAGATGAAACAGCGCATTTCGCATGTAAAAAATTACTATTTAAATTCCCATTTATGTATTTATTTATTTATTTTTATGTATATACGTATATGTAATTATTAATTTATGTTTTAGAAACCATATGGAAAGTAAAGCGGCTTTTAACGATGAAATCACTGTGAAAGACTATTACGTATTATACCTTTGGGGATTATATTTGTTATTAAGAGCAAATGTCTGTAAAAATCGAGCAAAATCGAAATTTCGCGGCCACAGTCAAAAAATCACTTTCGCTCATATCTTGTCCATAGATAGGCATAAGTAAGTAACTAAACGAGGTGTAGTTTGTTTTTCAAAAGACCGCTTGGATTTGGAAAAAATCGACAAAATCAATTTTCGTGGTCAGCGACTTGAAAACAACCAAAATTTGAGGCAAAATCAGGCGGTCTCAAAACTTCGCTCGCACGCACACAGGAAGAAATGCGGGGTAAAATATTCCACGATAAATCAATTTATAAAGGGTTCTACTTCTGGTTTGGTGGTGAATTCTTATCTTAACGGTAATCTGGAAGATAAACAATGTTATTTTAGTCTGCATGGATTCTTTTTCAACTAAACGAAATTTAAATTTAGGCTGAAAGTTGCGTTTTATATTTTAGGCATGTGCTACACCTTGACTTTCGCGATCCCCACCCCCTCCCCCACCCCATGTCTTCATTTTCCAAGCAAATTTGAGTGGTCCCCCCTATGAATCCTTCCAAAGTTTTCAGCGATCTCCCTTTTGGGTTCTCAGTCACGACTTTGTTCTCCCAAAAATCAAGTCATCCCCCTATAATGACCGGTCCCTTAGCGGGGAAAAACAGTCTCCGAGAACGCATCTTTTCCAAAACGCTCTCCAGAGTGGAGATTTGTGAAAACGGCGGCTTTTCGTTTTCGAATACAATGATGTCATTCATTAAAAATACCTCATCGCATGACGCATGCTCAATAAGGTACGCTATCGTATTTCCATCTTTTTAGCGTTTTCGTATGGACGGGCGGAAGAAAGAATGTTAGATGAAATGGAATGTCATTCACAAAGAACAAAAACAGTGCGGGACCTAAGACACTTCCTTGCGGTACCCCTTGCTTGATAAGTAGAGAGTCTGATCTTTCACCGTCAATACTGACAAACTGGCAGGAAATGAATACACGCAACAAAAGGGAATTCAAATTTTGATCTTAGGGTTTAAAGGGTTAAATGAAGTGCGCTTTTTGTTCTTTATCGTACAAGCATGACATGTACTAAACAGATCCTTTCGAACCGACTGAAGAGAAGAAATTAACAATTGGTTTCTGAGTCAGCGTGCGTATGTCGAGATATGAAGCACGCAGGAAGTTTGGAGAGCACGAAAAAGAGGCGTAAGAGTTGCTCGAGTCGCGGCCAACTCTATTAATGATAATAAAAATTATAAAGAAGTCGAACTTACCAACTTCCAAATATGCCAAAACCATGCCAGTCAGCGTCCAAATTATTCAAAATGGTCACAGCTTGAAATACGAAGGAAGTTGCAACTTGAGTATCGGTTCAACGTTAAATTAACATTTTATTCACAGCATAAGTCGCATCAACTACAGATTACTTTCATTTGCTCCTTTCAACGTTTAAGTACATATAGTGTTTGATTTTGCCAAGGCCAGATTTTTAAACCATGCATTAGGTTACTTCCTCAAATAACTTGAGATGATCGACCTTCTTGAAGCTCATTTTTTGAACATTGCCTTGTCCCTTTACAGCGTCTTCCCAGGCCTCCTGGGCCAATGAATTTCGGTGACGTATCCGAGACGAACGGCCAGGCCATTGATTCGCTCAGACCACGTGACCCGAAATGCATAAGCCGTGGGGGAACCGTGGAACTAGTCATGTTAAACCACTCATACGTTCTGAAAAAGCTTCTTAGAGTATCACGCTCCAAAGCAGTCCAATCTCAAATCATTTTTAATTCTCCATTTTCAAACCTTGGTAAAACCGGCAGGATGAGATTTCCGTAAGCTGAGTCTTGCGAGATAAAATATCCAGAAGACGTAGTGTTCGCGTGCTAAAAAGCAAAAGAAAACGCTCCATAAAAGTCTAAACATACCTCGCGATAGTCCCATATTAAGGAGGGTTTACTGTCTTGTATTGTCGTTTACTTGGCACTTAATTACGAAACGATTTGAGACAGAAAAAAATAAAACTGTTCCAATAGAACTGAGAAAGGATACCATTAGCCTACAATGCAGGGATATTTTGCAGTCGAGGGCGCGATCAGTAGGTCTGCAGGGGCCAGGGTGTGTGGGCGCCCCCCCCTTATTTTTAGACCAAATTGAGGCCCAAAGAGCAAAAAAAAAATTCGGCCCTCTCCCCCGCCCCCTACAGTGAATTGTTAGGGGCTCTTGATTCTGAGACGAGAACGAACGAAAACGAGGATTTCCTCAATACTGAGTATTGCTCACGAGTGAACCAGCGTCATTTTGGTGGCAAAACGAGACAGTCGTCATTCTACTACGAGTTTTAGCGACAATGTCGTCGTGGCGGGAACAAGTTATCAATTAGAAGAAGTTTTATCATTTTGCTATTGGGAGAGGGCTCAACCTCGGTCAGGAGACATAACCGTATAAACTTTTTTGGTGTAAAAATGTAAAATGAAGCTTTCCGGGATGTCTTTTTTTTTTTGAGAACACGAGAAAAAACTTTAAGTTAAATCTCGTTCTCGTCCTCAAATCTAAAGCTCTCTTTTTGAAAGGTCAGTGCTACACATTGTCTTGGATACGATCACGTCAGTCATTCAGGAAATCATGATGATGCACGAGAAAATCATCGGTAGCGCTATAATGAAATCCTTTAAATTTTCGTGTTGTTATTTTTCCAGGTCCATGACAATCTGGCATCGACTTAGAATGCAATTTTTTTCTCCAAATCGGTTTTGCAAGGCGTGAAGCGCCAGCATAATATTTTCACACGAAGTGGGCCACGCCCGTTTCTGGTAACAACCGGTTTCGCTGCTTTTCGAATTCGTTCATTCTAGTTTGCAACAAATTCGCTACATATTACTTCCTGAAAACCACTGAAAATCTGCTGATATATTTCTCGTTCTTTTAAGCTTGCCCCTTCAAGGGTGCAAGTTTTAGACTTTGCCAATAGCCAGCAAGACAAATATGTAGGTAGCGAACTCGAACGTAGCGAATTTGACAAGTAGCGAAACCGTTGTAAAGACGGTCTCACTCTTCGTTTTTACCCTCACTGCAAACCTCTGCTTTGACCGCTCGTGCACGCGTCCTGAACTTAGGCAAAAATACGGGCTGTTTTACAGTCCAGCATTGTCTAAATCATTGATACCATTTCATAATGAGATGATATGTAGCAGAAAAGAATGTGACATAAAGTATTTTGATGAAACGTTTTACACGACACAAAGCATCTGATTTAGAAGCTATAATAATTACTTTTGACAGAGTGAGTGGTTTTTATACTACTTATGTAAATCTTTTAACCCTTTAAACCCTAAGATCAAAATTTGAATTCTCATGTGTTGCTCCTATTCATTTCCTACAGAAGTAGTGGGGAGAAGTTGATAAAAATAATATTAACCTAATTCATCCTGTGTGATCATGTCCGTAATTCTCATGACCACTCTGTTTAACAAAGCCTTGTTACTACAAGGAGAAATTTAATGCTGATCACTCTTAGGGCTTCAAGGGTTAAGTGATGTAAACCAACCTCTAGTGCCTGTCGCTGGCTCAATGCCATGTCTGCTGGGTTGCGAATAACCTAAAAGCAATAGAGCATTTTTACAGAGGTTTATTTAAATGATAACAGTTGAAGTGTTCAATCTAAGCTACGTTTCTCCGCCATTGACGTGGAATACCGTACAATTCCGAAAATAAGCCCCGGTGCTTATATTTTTCAAAGGCCATTATTGAGGGGCTTATTTTTTGAAGGGCTTATATTCGGAGGGGCTTATGGATGGAGGGAAATTTGCGTTTAAAAATCGTTTGGGCTAGCCCTCTTCTTGGAAGGAAAACTACCGTTTTTCTTTGTTTTACTTTGTATTTGACGGACATTTCCAAGTACAAGCCCCCCGCGGGGCTTATATTCGGGGGGACGATTTAACGGAGGGTTTTTTGCGTAACGAGCTTGGGGGGCTTATATTTGGAGGGCTTATACATGGAGGGACTTATTTTCGGAATTTTACAGTATTCTGCTCTGACCCAAAATGAAATAATCGTGGAGTCATACTGACGCAAAAAAGTTACTTCATATTATAAGTACTTCCAAAGCAGCAGGTAATAATATAAGTAATTAAAAAAAAAAAAGTGCGCTTACTAGCCTGAAATGAGCGCACAGAATGACTATCATTCAATTTCAGACTTCGTGCGTACGATTAGTTCTTACATCACGCAATTCTGAGAGAGACCGGAGCGTTCATTTGGACGCTCTGCATACAGCTGTACATTGCTTTGCCGATTTGCGCTTCGTTTGTTGACTTCGTTCTTTGTTTTTGTTCCATTAATTGAAAAGCTAAGTTCATTTTTTACAAGAGAGAGAAAGGCAGGTGAATCTGAAAACCATGAAGATTTCCATTATAGTTGTTCAAAGTTTCAATATCATAGTTTGACCTAGTAGACCATTTCTGAAATGACCCAATTTAAAATGCCATGTGGGACATACATGCATATATAACACACTTTGACCAACTTCTAGATTAATCACTGAACAGTTCCAAATTCCACATTGGCCCTACTTGTTCAAAAGGAGAAAACCATGATCCACTCAACAAATTCTATTTAACGGATAAGACAATTGGCCTTACTTTTCCTAATCTTAAGTGTACATGTATCTATTAGATAGGGATTTATCTAGCAGATATTGTTTACCCAATTTTGAAAAAGCAGGTCTGTTTTTTAAAACTCTGAAGAAGCGACCATACAAAGTGCACAAGTTAACCACAAAACTTGAAGCCTAATTATGTATAACTTAGCAGCTAGCCTACATAGATGGCCAGTTTTTTTGTGTGTATGCCCATGGATCATATGGACACCCATAGCCGTCACAGATTATAGTATTTTTGCTGTTTTCTAAATAATTATTTTTCAATAAGCTGTTATTAAGAAGTCTAGTCACAAACTTGTCAACTCATTATTACAATTCAGTCATGTAGCAACGCAGAAAATTCAGGTGAATATTGAATTACATTGACTCCACACAAACTCAAACATTAACTGCACTTATTACTTACCGGGGCTTCATGTGTAACTTTTACAATGGGAACAGATGCCTCTGCACCTCCCACACTCCTTTGCCTGAGAAGTAAAAACATTAAACAGTCATATCATGAACATTGTTATTCTGATAACACTCGACTCTCTCTTAACCCTTTAAGCCTGATATCCACTTACAAATTCTCCAACCTGATCTCTATACATTTCGTTTAAGAATTAGTTGAGCGAATTTGACAAAAGATCAAGGCATTTTCGTTTTGGTGATCATTTTGTTAATTCTCATAACCTTTTCTTTTGTCAGTGAATGGGTATTGTTAAGAAAAAATTGATGTTGGTCACCATTGCAGTGGCAGATCCAGGGGAGGGGGCCCGGGCAAATAGTGATAATGCTAAATTTTTTATGGCAAAATACTGTGGAATACAAAATAATGTAAAAAAATGACACAATAACTTACGAAAATACAACAAAACTGCTATATTCACCTAAATTCTCATAATTTGTTTTGTTGCTATGGGCAATATAATAATAAATTTGTTAAGAAAGATTAAACAACACATATGTTTTTGCTTCTGTATTTTTCATAAAATTGGTACACTTAAAGTTAACAAAGAGCATTTAATGCAGCAGAATGTGATAAGGCCTTTAAACTGTCAAACTTTCCATTTGTTTCTCTGGAAAAATATGAGGTAATTTGAAAGGGAAGACTAGGAGTTTATCATAAGTCTCATGGGACTTTAATCCAAGTAACCCTTTCATTTTGGAAATGCTTGGGAAAAGAAAATTTGTCTATTCATGCAAAGCATTGTGACATGCTGTAAGACATCATGTGACAGTCTGTACAAAGGCTGTTTTATCCTTGATTGAGCAAATCTTTTAATATTTGGTGGTGGTGTAATCCTGTATGGTACAAATACATGTAATTTACGCTACTGCTTCCTTGCATTGATCAAGCATTAATCTAGAAGCGGTGAGTGACTTGATTTTACTAAACGAAGCTTCACAAACTTTAAGTGACAGCAACATGCTATCTTGTTTAAGTACGAAGGAAAGAAACTTTTCAAGCGAGAGGGATGCCAAATTTACCGTCCAAATCATAAGCTCAAACAATAAAAATTACTTTTAAGGTACCCCTTGTAGAACTAGACATATGCAAAACCTATGTTCATGCTATTTATTAACTATGTTGGACTATGTTTAAGCCATGTTATGTTCACTTCTGCCTATGTATTACCTGTGTAACATACCACATAACAAAGTGCAAAGTATGAAAAATCTATGTTGAAACTGTGTTAGTAAGCTCATTTCTGTCAGCTTAAAACTGTATTTTCTAGCATCTCTCGCAATTAGCTCACAATTAAAGGTCAGAGATCACTTCGACTCACCCCACATTTCCTACGCCACCTTGGCCTTGATTTAAAAGCATCTGGCGTTTTTGTTGCAGATCCTGTAGAATCCTCCGATTCTGTGTTTCTGCCAAAAGAAAGCGAAGGCAAGCCGTGATCATATGATCATTTAGACGCGAACTATGTACTCTAGCCTCGATTCAGCAATACAACAAGCAATATCTGCCAGCCTTGCTTGTTTTCATAGTCGATACTGCAAAAAATAATCACCTTGTCCGCCTTGTGACTGAAATGACATCTTACTTCCTCGAGCTCAATAAACTGCACCTTAATTTTGCTTTTTCAATCCAATCACTCCGCCATTTTCCGCCATCTTGATTAGGACTTTGCCCCAGTCTCTTTATTCCTCTTTGGAAATCCGCTGGACTATAATTTTTTGCAACTTTTCCGCTTGAGTGTTGAGGTATGCGTGACAGAATGCGTATTTTGAGATGATTTCCAGTTATTTTTGTTGCTTGCGCAGGTATTCTATTGCCATTTATTTACCAGCATTACATTCTAGCATAATACAACGGGATCTGGGGTTGAAATCCAAAAGCAGTTGTGCAGATGTTTTTAATATTAATTCTCAACCTATATATTTACAGTGTATAAATTCAGAAACTGATGAAGAACCCCCCTGAAGATGTCGAACAAGCTATTTATTTTTGTTGGACTTTATTTCTCTACTATTAGTGCAGGTAAGATGAATTTTAAATTGTACAAAACTATGCTAATAAAAGCTCATTCAGTCCTGTTCTCCCACAACCCTACCGTATTACCGTGAAACCGACAACACTTGAAATATTTCAGGAATGTTTATCGTGTTACGACCAATCACAACAAAGATCAGGACATGCGAGCTTGCCACATAACCACAAACTAATTAAGTTGCTTGTGGACTAGTTTCTCATGCCTGATTTGCTTTTTTCTGACAACATAATAACATTTCAGGAATGTTTCCGATGTTCAAGGTCTTGTTGGTTTGACAGTAATAATAATAATCATCATCATTTTCAGAAAAGTACAGTTTTATCCCTAATGTGTTCATCACTGGGACTGTATACTATAGCTGCCTGGCCCCAGCTGTTTTAAAGGTGAATAGCGCTATTCACTGGATAAAATAATGCCACGGATAGTGCAATCGGTTTTCGTAATACCTTTCCACTGGATAACAGTGATTTATCCGGTGAATAGCGTTACCCAACTTTTGAACAACCTGGGCCTGGTGGGTAATGTAAGGGCTATAAAATCGCAGTTGTCCATGATCTGAAAAAACAAACACTGCGTGCTTGTCATGTTTAGACTCTCTAACAGACCAGAGCACATGCACAGTTAAGTCTCCATAATAACAGCAGACATACGCAAACAATGGCATAGATTCTGCAACTGTCAATTGTCAATAGAAGTTGGAACTGAATCAAAGAAATCACAAAGTCTCACAATTAATAAAGACCTTCAGTCAACTGTTTAAAAGGGTTGCAAACTTGCTTCCTTCCCTCCCTGACATGAATGAAGTACCGCGTTCAGTGCTATGATGCATATGATCACCACCAGGTTAGCTCAACTGCAGCCCGGTTAGCTCAGTTTGATTAGCATAGGTCCACTAAGTGGTACCTAGGACGTCAGTTCAAACCCTGGCTGGACTAATGATTAGGGTCTTTTAATAACTAAGGAGGAAGTGCTGCTTTTATTTTATAAAGACATCGAGCCATATACAGTTAGACTTTCTAGTCTTCTTGAATGAGGACAAAAAAACCGTGGACCCTGTCTCACAACCCTTGCACATAATAAATTTCATTCATTGTTCATAAAGAGCAGAGGTCTATCTCTCTTGGGCAGAGGGACTGTTATGGGCCTGTAGTTAAATTGGCGCCATGCACTGTTGCAGTGACCTGGCCAAGAATTGGTGAACTTTAGTAAATCATACTTGACAATACTTGTCATGTAGAGGCAGTGTGGAGAATGGTCAGTGCATCAGAATGGAAAATGATGTGGATTTGAGTCCTGCTCCAACCACTATAATGTAGCTGGATTTGCTTCATTGCAAATTCAAATTTTTGCCACTCTGGTAAATAGTCAACTCTGGTTTTCCTCCTGCCAGTCATGATCTTTAATCCTCTTATATTTTAACAAAAATTTCATTATTAACAAACCTTTACCTTTATGACAACTTGAAAAAAAATTTTTGTTAAACATTTCATTTATCTTTTGTTTTAGAAGAACTGTCACTTCAACAAGCAGTGGTAATATCACGCCATGGAAGCCGCACCCTCCTTACCAAAGATCACAAGACATTTGAGGAAGCAAGTGACAGCCAGTTGACTGTGAGAGGAATGGATCAAATGTTTAGAGCCGGAGAGTTTGTTCATAGTCATTTTCACGAAATGAAATTCAACTTCTCTGATTTGTATAGTAAATCTCCGCAAGAAATTTATGTACGGTCTAGTGACTATTCCAGAACTCTCAACAGGTGAGAACTACATGACTGTATACCTTAGTCTTCTTTCCTGCTGTTTTTTTTGTTTTTTTTTTTTGTCGTCATGCAGTGAATGCTGCTCTGCATCACACCACAAAAATATGGGTGCATAGAAGACTAGAATTACCTGGGTCTCTGTGATGTCTTGTGTTTTCTCAATAGCACTTAAAGTTGTGTTCTACATTGGTTGTAAAGCAAGCCAACGTGGATGTCATTTCTTTGTCTTGACTTTTTTTTAAGTGCACTGAGTTTTCTTCTTGGATTATACCCACCAAGGAACCAAACGCTTAATGTCTCTTATGTTCACGACGTTTTCCATGCTCCATATGACATACAACAGGTCAGTGTGTTACCATCATAATTTCTTCTTTTGACTTTATAGGGGTCAGTGTGCAAAGAAAGTAGCGTCCGATAGCCCGGGGCTAGTGGATTTTGCTATCTGGCTAGTGAATTCTGTCTTTAACTTGCCCGATGGGCAAGTGATGTTTTTTTGAGGAATTCGAATAACAGAAGAACTGTGAAATCAATTCTGCTTGTCAAAAAGCTTTTGGGGCTAGTTGAAATGATGACTAGGCTAATAAATACTAGCTTCAGCTTGCCCAAAAGGCAACCTGTAAAAATGATTTTCTTTGCACCCTGCTTTATAGGGGAACACCAAGGTTAAGAATTCCTTGGTGGCCAGAGGCAAACTAGATGGCTATTTACAAGTGTGACTAAGTAGTTCAACCTGGGACTTAACTGAAAACAAATTCAGCTAGCAGTTGGGTTGGGGACTGAACTAGGTACCTCCAGGTAGTAATTCCAGTGCTCTAACCACTGGACCAGATTACAATGATTCCAGCACTCTAACTCCTTGGTTAAGAAGAAAGAGAAAAGACAGTCATGCTGGCCCATGACTGAAGACTGCCATGAACCAACTCTAGGAGATGCTGGCAACCAGTGTTAGCCTATTTTAAGCTTGCTGTTCCCTTAAGCAATTTGAAACCTGCAGTTAGCTCATTGAGCTAACTGGGTGGTGCTCTTTGTTCTGGTGTTACATGTAGTTGCTTTTTCAGACTTGCTTTCAAATAATAAGGGAAAGTTCATTTAATATGACAAGGTGGGGGGATGAAGATATTGAAACTCGAAGCTTGAAATTTTAGCAGCCCCCCTCGCTAGCGGTTCAATTTTTTAGGAGCCCCCTCCTTGGTAGTCGAAAAAATTTCAGAGCCCCCATCCTCCTTGAATTCCTTTGCTCCCCTGAAAAAAGATCGCTAGACTGTATTAAATATATTTACCATTATTGTCTTCAATGGTTTATACTATGACAAACTTGAGATACAGTTGTGATACAATTTTCTTAAGCATTTTTAGGATGAACAAGAGTGTAATAATTACTGAGACTACATTTGTTATATCTGTAAACCACGTGACGTAGCTGAGTTGCACAGGTCATAAATTGTTGAGTTGAAAACCATCCGATCTGTATGATGATGTCATGTGTTGGTTTTGAAGTATACAAATTTTCGGAGCCCCCCCTCAATATCTTCACCCCCCCTTGTCATATTAAATGAACTTTCCCTAATGCAGGAAACCCTCTATAACCTCTACAGAATGAACATATCTCGTTATTCTGACGGTTGTTTTGGTCCCAAAGAAACCAAAATTCATTGCCTCAGTTAAAATTAATGCAACTATCCCTGTTATGTGGGCACTTGGCTTTGCTCTCTTTGGTGTCCACATCAGTGAAATCTGACTGTATTTACATTTTATTGGCAGGTTCCAATTCACACTGTTGCTGTCGAGAATGATCAGCTCCTAAGAGGGTGGCTTTCCTGTCCTGAGCTGACGAAAAAAGTCACTGCTTTCTATGAGAGTAAAACATTTCAAGAGAAAGAAGCAGAAAGTGCCAGTCTTAGAAAAACACTGGCAAATGTATTGGGGATTGAGAAAATTGAACTCAAAGACTTCTATAATGTGTAAGTAAGAGCATTATATTTCTGATCGGTCAAAAACCACAAAAACATGTTATTTTATACTGAAAAGCAAACCAGAAGTATGAGTTTTAAGTGTAAAGAAATGACGTCCCTTGACATTTTGCTCTTTTTAGGTATGACTACGTTAATCTTCATCGCATGTACAACCACACTTTTAGTCTTAACATCACTGAAAAGGAGTGGGATAAGATTGAATCGTTGGCAGATTGGGTGGAATATAACAAATACAGCAAAGGAATTATCGGTGATATCGGCGGAGGACTTTTGGCCAATGAGATTGCCATGAGCTTCAGAAATGTTACAGAAAAACCAAGTAAACTGAAGGTTTGTTTGTTTTTTAAGACATCCTTTACCCATCTAGGTCTTAACTGCTTTTTATAAGACCCACTTCATACCTTTAATTTTATGGGTGCTCTTCTTATTTCTTCCGAGAAAACCACTGTTGATCGATCGTGTCGACGGCTTCCTCGTAACAAGGGATGGTTCGAGGACGTATACCGGCACAAACACTGATTAGAGGTTCAAGAAAACGTTCCGTGTATCAGAAGCCACCTTTACCTTTATCCTTGGTGGTATTCAATACGATTTACGACGTAATACTGTCATCATCATCATCATCATCATCATCATCATCATCATCGTCATCGTCATCGTCATCGTCGACAAAAATCACACATTTCAGCGTTCATTAATCAGTAATAAGAACTAAGTTATTTAACAATGAAGTGCATTTATTTATTTTATTCTTTTCTTTTCAGTTGCGGTATTACTCAGCTCACTATCCTACCATGTTATCGCTGTTTACTTCACTTGGGTTAATCAAAGATTCTCAGAGTCCTTTGAGTAAAATCCCGAATTATGCGTCTCTTGTGTTCATTGAACTACTGAGGAATTCTAAAAACAAATACTTCGTTCGATTTTCTTTCAAGAATAATTTATTGGAGGTAAGTTTTTTCCCCTAAATGTTTATGGCAACCATGCATTTTCCTTAGAGTGAATTAAAATCAAACAAGGCCCATAATTCGTTATATTTCTTGCAAGCTATTTTCTGTTTTAGAAGACGTGTTTGATGAATTAGAAAATATGTAGAACGTGGCCTGGTTTTTTAAGTTTCAATCAAAACAGCAGTCTTGTTCTGAAAAAATTCACGATCACAACATCACTAACAACAGTTCCAAGCTCAAATCGCCAGAATAATAGCATTTACGGGCTGAAAGAGTTATCAGATCAGCAAGTAAGTAACCTGGAAAAAACAACCGACATTTTGTGACGCCATCGCTGGTTTCCCCACAAAATGACGTCTGAGAAACGAGTGCAGAAATTCCATACTGATGACGCGTCACTACCCAGGTGGGAAGTGTTTCTGATTGGTTGAACAAATTTCCTATGCGGCACGACCAATCAGAATCACCACACAGAACTGGGTACTGACACGTCATCAGTATGGGATTTCTACCCTCTTTTTTCAGACGTCATTTCGCGTGGAAACCAGTGGTGGCGTCCAAAAATGTCGGCTGTTTTCTCAGGCTAGTAGGTAAGAAATACAGCTGTTCTTGCTTTTTAACATCTCTCCTTCTCTCGCTTACTTACTACCCTGTAATCAGATTGAAATGCGCCAAATTCTGCTAGGGGCTCGAGCCTTTAGAACTAGCGTTTCGAAAAACGATCGTGTTTTTGTTGCCTTTTTGTTTTTCGTGGTTCCGCGACTGAAGATATTCTCTATTCCTTCCATGTCTTCTCCTGCCTACACATACCTTCATCTAGTTCGTCACGCAATCATATTTCTGAAGTGCGTAACAAAGCGAACGCGGCTTTCATGCACAGGAGGCTATAGAGTGACGTATAATCTGCTGATCAGGCGCAGGCTAGGTGATATACTATTGAGGATAGCCTTGTGATGGACTGGCGTCCTACCAAGGTGGGGGGGGGGGGGGGGGGGGGAGGAGTAAGACTTTTAAATGCTCTCGGCCTTTAATAGAAACGTAACAAAATGTTGTGGATAACTTTGTGATGAACTAGCATCATACCAGATGGGGAAGGGGCATTGTAATGCTCCTATTGCTTATTCTACAGAGAATTCTAAAAATGCAACAGTCGCTACAAGGTTAGCCAATCACAGGGGTGTCCTTTGATGGACATCCATCCTTTCTAGGCTAGAGTACCTTCCACGTCACTGAAATTCAGATAAGGCTCCGGCCGAGTAGTTTTCGTTTGACGTGCGTGAGTCTTTCTGATCTACCTTTATGGTTTTTTTCCCTAGGAAACTGTAGTAAAATACAAAATTCCCCGATGCGGCGATCCATGCCCCCTGGACCAGTTTGTGAAAATTGTGACATCTCTTGCAGTGCGTGATGTCACTTCTTGGTGTCACGCATGTAAAAATACCAAATTATCGCAGTGTAAACCCTCAGGAGAAAATGGTCGAAAAACTATGTGTCCCGCTGTGAAAAAACCTAAATTATCTGGAACCGGTGGCTTTTTTCTCGGTGTGTTTGTCACGCTCCTAGTGGTGATTTTTATAACTGCAGTGTGGCACTTTTGGTTGAGGAGACGCTGTCTACCTGGAGGAAGTGGCAGGCGACCGAGGATTGGACTATCTGATTTGGAAAATGTCCCTTCAACTGGGGTGATATGACTGGAATGACAATTGATAGAGCCACGTCTGGCCAAAGTTTTGTCCAGTCTCGGTGTTTGTATCGCAAAACTACAAAATACAGTGTTCTGAAACTGGACCGCGTTTACTCTTGCAAAGACTTGTGGGGTCATTACGGGAGACACGGAAGACCTTAGATAACAATGACCTCAACCAGGTTGTGGCGTCCAGCGGTTTTAGTGAAAACAAGGGTTTGACTGGGGTGCTCAGTCTGCGGGCTCATAAAACCTAGTGTCGGTCATTCTTATTTAAGGATTTTCCTGGGGACACTTCGGTCAGTTATTATCGGCCTTTTTTTTCCCCTTGTTCCCAGGAACAATCCCAGAAGACTTTGCCAGTTTCCTTCTTGGCGTATGGCGAATGGGGTGAAGTTACAATTCCAAAATTTTTTAAGAAATTGTAAATAAAAGTCAATGAAACCTTAATGCTATACACAAAGTTTCAGGAAATCAGATAAAATTCTCTCTATACAGACTATTTTCTAACTGACCTCAGGGTAATGGATTTTCATTTTTTCTTGCATCTTCTTTCGATCGAAATGCACCCCGTACAAACACTGTATTTTGCAGTATTGTGATACAAATATTTAGCCTGGGTAACCTGTGGTCCGACGCTGAAAAGGTGGCTGATCGTGG